CAGCTGGAGGCTGAAAGAAAGAAGCCACTGGTGAAGAAAGATCCAGAGCAGCCCCACAGCAGATGACAGCGCTCGGTCCTGCACTCCAGGGCCCCCCGCAGCAGCTCTCTGCCCCCAGTGCCGTACCGCCTGGAGGCTGATGAAGTAACGGTTCCTCTCTACTTCGGGGTCAATGATACCCCCTTTCTCTTGCTGTCTCTTGAAAATTAAGCGCAGTTCTTCTTGGTGCTGCAGCGTCTTGGTATCTGGCCTGTAAGGCTCCTGAGCGGCAGAAAGCGAGGCAGGGTAAGGGCTCTCTCAACACCCAGCATGGGTAGGCAGCTGGCAGTGCTAAGAGCTACTCCCCAAACCCTCCTTTGATCCCACAAGGAACATGGGATCATTTCATGGTCTAGAAGAAAACTCAGGGCTATACAGCTAAGCCTGCTCTTTGTGGATACATGAAACAATCAGGAGACACCCTGCTAGGTTTCATGGACCACCCTTTGGATGGGCTGCCTGGGAGGTCGTGAGAGCGTGCAGCACGTGTTCATTCATCCATTATACTGTCCCAGTTGAAGCTACCCAGCGAGTGGGCGCAGCTGGGCAGGTGAGGCCCCATTTCTTACCAGTGGGTGTTGCGGGGGCGGCGCCGCCTTCAGAGTGCAGAGATCGTAGACCAGGGTCTCCCGGCAGACGGGGCACTGCACACCGGCCTCCTGCGGGGAGGCGCGAGGTGACAACCCAGCCCACGCGCTGCCGAATAATCCCCAGCCTGGCAGTGGAATAAGGTGGTCTTCCTTCACTCTTCTGCCAGCGTGGGGAAGCCCAGCGGGGTTCCAGCAGCATCAAAGCAGCCTGGTGTCCCGACAACTGCTACAGGAGGTGTCTCCACCACGAGGCACACCAGGATTTGTGCTCCAGCAGCCGACCACTGTACGAACCACCTCTGTCAGCACATATGGCTCGTCCTCCTTAGCTTAGGATCTATTTTTCCCCACTCCAAAGTGGAGCGTGTCATCTCGGCAGCACCTTTTTGAAAGGGTTTTGCAAGAAGGAGCCCTTGACATGTTTCACACTCAGCTGCGCTGTTTGCTCTATGGCTGACAACTGTTCCAACACCTGCTCAGGCAGGTTTTATCACCCCAGAACACAGGTGATCACGTTTATCCTGCTCCGAACCCCTGCAGTTCGACGACTAGGGAAGGAGCTCTCTTTGCTAACTCCTGTGGTTCTAGAAGTCCATAAATGCAACCAATTCCCCTGTCCCCTCACACAGCAGGTGCTGACCCAGAGGTCCAATAAACCAACTGCTAAAGTACTAAAAACTCGCAGGATAATTTGGGTTGGAAAGGGCCCTTGGAGATCAGTTGGTCTAATCCCCACTCCGATTCTCAGTGTAGGCATGACAGTGACTGTGCTGCCAGGTCAGGCTAGCCCTCACCCCATGTCCGGAAGAGGGTGACAGGGGTGTCATGAGAGCATGTACAGGGGGCTGGGGGAGGAGCCCAAGGCCAGGTACCTGTTTTGGGGATGGCGCCGGGTGCTGCTCTCTCTCCTCCTGTTGCATGAGGAGCTCCTCCTCCATGTGCTGGGCATAGCGGGCCAAGCAGTGGGAGTGGAAGTAGTGGTAGCACTGGGTCTTTGTGAAGGCTTCTCTCTCCTGTAGAGGAGAAAGGGCAGCTTTAAAGGGTTTCTGAACACAGGGTTGTGAAGCCTCCCCAGCTGAGGGGGCCTTTCACTCCCATGTCAGCGCTGGCAGTGGGGAACTAGTGCTACTGCTGGCAGAGGCACATAACATCTTTCTCTGGGCTTCATCTCCGCCTCCTCAGCTCTTACTGGGACACTGCTCCCTGTTCCGAGAGCAAGAAACACTCATAATATCAAGCTGCAAAGTTTTTGTGACTGATTTATCTGCATGTGTTCCTGTGCAAGCAGAAATCTTCCCACTCAACATGTTCTTCCTAGGCAGGCACTGCCTCTCCTTGCAACCTGGACAAGGCAAGCTCCCCTGTCCCCACAGAGCTCAGCACCCACGCAGATGGGTTCCTATCCCTCCTGACCACCTGTGTGCTGAACTCCAGGCGTGGTTTGACCAACACAAGGAAGCTGAGATGCAGCAGCAACTATCCCCAGACCCTATCCACTCCCTTGAAGATGCTCCTCCATCACTTGCTGCAGCTATACCCTGTTTCTGTAGACGTTTATTTTCAGGCTGACAGGAAACCTTAGGAAGGTTCATGCTTAGTAGCATCACATACAGACCTGGGCTGCTGAGGCACACCCCTGTCCCAGGCCAATATGCCAAGTTTTATGCCCCAGGCTCCCTGTTCTCTTGCCTCACTTCCCAGCCAGCTTGCAGGGCCAGGGGACACATTCCTACCTGGAATCCGTAGAGGCAGATCACACACTGGCCATGAGGAATGTTGTTGTCAGTGAGAATCTCCTTCCCCTTCTGCGGAAGTATTAGAGCAAACATTTTACTCACTGGCCTGCCCAGGGGCGCAGGGCTATCCCACCCCTTGGACAGTCAGGGACCAGTGTCCGTGGCTGGCTACCCCCAATTTCACCCAACTCTCACCTCAATCAGTTCATAGAGCACCTCTGTCCCCAGCCTGGCTTCAGCAACACTTCTGAGGGTCTGGGAAATCCTACAGCAAAGCAGCAGCAAAACTTAGCACAAGTTTAGCCACATCTTTTCACTCTCCCACATACCTGTCACTCCACCACGATGACAGGAGCAAGAAATAGAGCACTGGCCTTCAGGCTTTGCCTGCAGCCCTGCATGGACACGTGTGCATACACATATTCACGTGCTCTCCTGGCTCCCCACAAGCTGGTGCACAGGAAGCCTTTGTCCTCAGAGCAGGTTTGCAAACTGCCTCGGCTCAAGCTCACCCAGCACCCTTCGGTTTTGGTGATTCTCAGGCTTCTGACGGCAGCCCCTGAGCAGGTCCGGTGGGAGCCACGTTACTCCTGTGCTGCCAGCAGGTACCAGGGTCTCTCTGTACACACTCTGCTGCACCAAGAACAGGAGCACAAAGGCAACAATGGGCTGCCCGAGGACTCGGTTCAGTCCCACCTCTATCAAAACAGGACCGACAGCTTTAAAGGCTGAGAGGATTTAGATTATGTTTCAGGGAGCTCACAGGGGAACGACCATAGGGTGGACCCCTTGGTGTCAAACTCAGCACCAGTGGCTCTCATGAGGTTTAAGACAAGGTGATTTAGAGACCTGTAGCCATCTGTTATCCAGGCACAGGGAGCCGCATGGATTTGAGAGAAGGCTTTTCCACCTGTTCTTCCTCCTGGATCTCCAAAGGAAAGGATCACCCTCTCCCCTCCCTCCTGCACTCACTTTTGAATTTGCTCATCTGACAGCCCCCGTGGGTTCCTGATCGAGATTTCTGGAGCTTTGTTGGGATACTAGGAAAAGAAAAACAGAGAAACACCCAAAGCACAACAAGGAAGGGGGAGAGGCTCGGAGCGGGGAGGACAGGGGGCGCGAGGGGCCGTCACCCTACCTGGGGGGGCACGGAGAGCACCAGCGTGAAGCGGACATACTGGGAGTCCTGGTCCTGGGCCGTGGCCGGGTGCAGGGTGA